TAATTTTGTGTATTTTGTAAATGTAAAAAAATAAAATGATAAAACTATTTGACAGCTTGTAGGAATGAACACATTTGTAACATTTATTTAAAATATACCTGCTTAAAAAAACAGGTGTAGTCTAAATGGTAACTTATTTTCCATTTTTTAAATACACTTTTACCAGTAAAACTTTTAACTCATGCCCTCTGTGCTCATCATTCCTCCTAACTCTTGTAGATACAAAATATCAGTTATGTAATGTAAAAAACAAGTACAGAAAAAAATTTCTCCCAATCACTGTGAAAATAATTTGTTTTCCTACATTTTAATGCTCTTTTCCCCTCTACACAGAGGTAAACAAACTGAATATCTGTGCTCTAAGGGTTAATTTTCCGAAGGGTGGGGGTTGGGGGTGGAGTTGTGTGCCTGTGAGGAGCTGCAGTCTGCAGGACAGAGGGACTCGGACTCGAGAGAGACGCAGGAGAGAACTTGTTGAGAGTTTGTTGTGTTTAACGGGAGATGTGGCTTTAACAGCAGCTCTTGTTGACATTCTTTGGAAAGTGTTTTGCTAATTAAAGTTCCAAAGAGCACACGGGTGACTTTTGGTTCCATTTGTTTAGCATTTAATGCGCTGCTTCATGACGGTCAGTCGATCAGTGCTATTTTTAGAAGGTGTCCTGCGGGCGACCAGCTGCCCGCGGGCACCGTACTGGTGACCCCTGCTTTAGAGCAACGACACATGGTTGAAACGGTTAATCCAGGAAGCAGAAGCTCACCTTCGGTTCATCACTGTCACTTAGGTGTTTGCTTTTGAACTTTCTCTTCCCTGAAGGCTTGCTGTTGAACTCGGGAGACTCCTCGCTCTCCTGGTAGCGGACCGAACCTGAGCGGGTGAACGAGAATCTCTGTGGAGGGGTTTCTGGGCTGGGTGCAGCTGGACTCTGACACTGGTCTGCCTGCAGATCTGTGGCGACAAAATCAAAACTCTGAAAATGACGTGGTCTTATTCTACCCACAGATACTTAGGTTTTCCTGAATAAATTGTCAAACATGATCATTGAAAAAACAGCTGCTGGTCAAATTCACTCTAAAACTATCAGAGAAAAAATAAATAAATAAATATTGAGCTGTTTCAGAGCTAACGGTTTTTATTTCTGCTTTGGTATAAATCATCACTGAGTGTATTAAATGTAATATAAAGACCACCAGCTACGATCAAATGTTTATTTTCTTCACTTTTATAAAATCATCAGCTGTTAAAAATAAATAAATTAAATAATGAATGAAAATCAGAAACTTTACTCTTCATTTCTGCTTTTAARGTTATAACAGAAAACTTTAAATAAAAACAATTAGTGTTGTAGAAGTCTTGAGTCATCCCAAATTTATCTATATTATCTTTACAAAAATTAGTTTTGACCATTTATCAAAGACAATTACTTTCATGCATATAACACTAATTTTTCCTCTGATAAGACTTTCACATACTAGCTGTGTAACAGTTCATTTAGTTGTACTAAACCATCTTGACTGAATACAAAGACAAATACAACAGTCACAACCGATCAATCACCTCACTCATACTTTTTATTGCTTTTGCCAACTGCTGCTAAAATAGAGCAGAAACAGCTAATGTTCGGCCACATAAGATGCTGTGTGTGCAGCAGGGGTGAAGCCCAGAGCAGAGAGGACGAAGAACAAAACTAGGTTCAGCTGATTGCTGGGATGTCGCCTGTTGTTACATTTATTAACGAGGAAGAGGAGGAAAAAGCAGAACCCACGCAAGCACGAGAAGAACGTAAACTCAACACAGAAAGACCCCAGGTTCAAACCGGGGATCAAACCCACGACTCAGTGAGGCGTCAGCGCTAACCACGGCAGCCTCTTAACAAGCATGATGTTTTGATCTGGTTGTGAGAGGATTATTGTTTATTAAAAAAACTGTTTTTCATGTTGTCCTGATTCCACATGGCACTGTAACCCTCATACCAAACAGGAAGTTAAATGAACYGTTGCACTTCTGTTACACTGTTTTTCTCTTTAAATTTGACACTTTTTTTTGCCTCTACTTGTATTCTTTCCTCATCTTTGAATCACAAACTGCACCACAGGCTGTCATGGTCAGGTACTGCAACAGAACCTGAAGTTCAAAGAAAAGCTCTTTTTTTTTATTAGAAAGACTGGAGAACTATTGATCAAAACCACATTAAAAGTTTACAAGAAAATCTTTTGAAACAAAAAAATAAATAAACACTGAGTGGCGGTTTAAGACTTTTGCACAGACGGTCTTATCAGGTGATGTTCTCTTTAATTTTTTTCAAACAGTTAATAAAATACTGCTTTATATCAGTTTTAGTGAAATGCTCAGTCAGCTTCTTATTTTAATGTAAATCTTTACAAAATGTTGAATTTTGCAGCTGCAGTAAGATGAAAGTCAGACGAACACAATGGAATATAAGAACATTACAAACCTGGAGGTGTCTCAGTGTCGTGTCTCAGCGGCTCTTCGAGCTGCTCTCCGTCTTCCAGCTTGTCTTTCTCTGTAATGTATTCGCCCGTCTCGTACTTCTTACTGGAACATCTCCGGCGCTTCTTGTGAGGAGGGGTGTCGGCCTCGGCTCCGGCTGCCTTGCTCTTGCGGTCCTGCGGAGCGTTCGATCGAGGCCGTCCTCTTGGTCGGCGGGCCGGCTGGCTGGGAGTCGGTGCCAGGGGTGGGGAAACCGCCGGGGGAGGCATGGATGGAGGCGGAGGAGAAGGGGTTGCGAAGCCCCAGAGGTCGAGCCGAGCGTCATCGGCTCGCCTCCGTCCTCGTCTCAGTCTGGGAAAAGAGGATTCTGTTGCATCTGCTTCTTTCCCGGACACGGCCATGTCACTGAGAAACTCTGAAGTCCTTTCAGTCGGAGCACTGCTGTCGCTTTCTGTAACTGAAAACAGCAAGAACCTGATTAATGCACCACCMCACCAGCAAAAAGTACAGAAGAAATGTGTAACGTTTGCTGTCTGTGCACACAAACTAGTCAAAGGCTACGTTCACACTGAAGGTCTTCACACTCAGTTCTGTTTCACATTATATTTTAAATGCATCAGACTCCAGTGTGAACTCTCCACAGMRATGATGTGACCAGCATGCACAGAAAATGATGTGACGTCAAATTCAGCTCGTTGTTTACTGAAGTAAACATGGATGCTACCTGTTAGCATGTAGAGTCTGAAGTTGTGCCATCAGAGCAGATTAAATAATTATGACCCCCGAATGCGAAGCGTTTCAGTGATTTTTTGGTCAACCGTAGCACAAAAACGGCTGCACCGGTCAACATGAAATTTGGCAGGACTGGGAGTCTGACCTACACTGCGCCAGCCAACGGTTTTACGATACACCCCATATTTGAGGAGGGGGCTCCATTCAAAGAGGGGGTGTCTGGACATGCAAAAATGTTTATAACTCAGAAACTGTTCAACATAAAAGCTTCAGATTTCTTTTGTTGTTTAGCTCTGATGAAGCTCTATCCATTAGGCCCACCAATCAGTGCCCCCCCCCAATATTTCTGAAAAAGGGGCATGTGGACATACAAAATAGGTTATAGCTCAAAAACTATTAAACAGGGGCTTGATGAGGGGCTATCCATCAGGTCAACCATTGCCCCCCACCCCCCCACTCCCAAAAAAAGACCCCCACCCAAACCACCACAATTTTGGGATGCACCTAGTTGCATGACATTTATTAGGAATAAAGACTTCCGAGTTCTGGTGCTTTTCTGCGTATGCGGTATCTAGTTATCTGACATAATTGTTCAGTTCACGGTTAGGCCTGTCACGATAACAAATTTTGCTGRGCGATTAACTGTCTCAGAAATTATTGCGATAAACGATAATATTGTCTGGTGACAAACCTATATAACGATAAAAGCGTAATAATGTATGTATGTCCTCTCAAGGATGAATAAACTTTAATTTTTAAAGAATATTTAACAAAATGGACTCTAACAAWAAAGTCTGACATTACTATCATATATTTCTGTGGATCCTTGGCCACACAGAACATAGTAAGCTATATAAAAAAAACAAAGKAACAGGACTTCTGTAGCTGAAGACGTGTGGAGTTTCAAGCTTTAAACTGCATGACTCAAAGTTCGTATCATTATTATGTATATGAATCGATCTGCTCCACCCAGCCCCACACCTCAGTGAGGTAAGAGTCAGATGAAATGCGACATGAGTGTTCAAAATGAAGTGGCTTTTTTAACCACATCATATGTGTATCAGATTCAGAACCACATACTGAAAAGACCTGGGTTTCATTTGCCTGCAGTGTGAACTTAGCCAAAGTAACTGCGGGCTGTTTGTCTCTAAAACAAAAATACAAGCCCTGAAAAATCTCACCGATCTTGACACAAGGCTGCATGTTTGACACGACGAAGAGCACCATTAAATCTGTGATAGATATCACAGATGTGTGCGTGCTGGGAGCGTTTTTAAATTTTTTTTATAGGGCTACAAAATGTCATGTCGTTACGTAAGACAGAGCTCGTACCTGCATCGTTGCGGGTCGGCTGTTCGGCCTCATTGAGACGGATCTTGTCCTTTGGAGTTGGCTCCTTGCTCTGCGGGGAAAGTTTTCCCGCTGACAGACTCTGCTTCAGCGCAGGTGCAGATTGTTTCTTCTGCTGGAAATACACAAGGGACAGTGAGCGCGCAGCGCAGGATGCTATTGATCACAAACTWTCACAACGAGACCTTGGAATGTTATGTCATCAATCACAGATTACAATTATGAAACGGAGCTCAGATCAACCAAATAACAAGGTAAAACTGTGAAACATGCCATTTTTTACACTCRAGAAAAGTAAAAAGAGATAATAAGAGTTGGGTGAAGGTCGTTTAAACAGTAACAGGATTTATAAGTACARAAATTGATCAATTACCTTTTTATTGAAAGAGGCTTTTTCTGGAGTATTTTCTGTTTCTTGTTTTTTCTTCCCTGCTGCCTTTTTTAAAGGCTCTGTTGGTGACTTCTCCTTTGCAGGCTTCTTAGGACTGCTCTTCTTTTGTTTRCTAGAAGCAGCTTTTGCTTTGGTTGGCGACTCCTCTTTGGTTTCGTTAGGTTTTTTCTCAATTTTGCCTCCTCTGCTCGCACAATGGCCAGTTAGAATGGATGCCACCGTGCCCTCCAATTTTTCACTGGGAGGGCTGTCCGATGTCCCACTTTCWCTCTTCGATATCTCCCCCTCCAACACCTGGGCTAATTTGCTTTCCGCCCTGTTCCCGTTCATTGATGCATCGCCCCCAAAGAGAAGAGACTGGGCAGTAGGCTTGGAGGAACATTGCTTCGCCTGCGGTCCCAGATGCTCRTCTTGAGCGGAGTGCACAGCGGTGTTATTCTCCAACGTTTCAGCGGTGTTCGTTTTCTCCTGTTTTTTCATAACTTGAGTCAGTTCCTCTTGAGACGGGACACTGGGCCATTTTTCCACAGGCCAGTATGACRGGTGTTCAAAGGCAGGAGTATGTTTCGATTGAGTGTCTTGGATAAGTGGATTTGAAACATCAGCTTTTCTCAACGCACCAGGCGAGCCTTGAATGCTACTCTCGCCAGCGAGTGAGGTCGTTTCGAGAACTTGCTGCTTTACAATCGATGCCAGGTTAGAGAGGGGGGATTTCATTTTCTCCCACTTGTTATCCTCGGRTTTTGATGGGTTATGATGGGCGCTGTGAAACTTGCATCCCTCTGAGACTGCAGTACTCTTRGTCTTTGGAGATCCTTGTGTGGGTTTTCGCTGAACAGCTGAGGGTTGTTGGGACAGATTAGATGGCTGCTGCCAAGCTGGACTGAYGACGGCGGTGGAGTACGGCAKTGTTGTTTTGCCGGGACCAGATTTCTGATGACTCTGAGCGTTGGCAGAGCTTAACGGGGGAGTTGTCAGCGCTCCTTTCAGAGGGCAGTTCTTAGTTATGGTTGTGCTGGTATTTTTTACATGCTTACCACTGTGAGAGTGTTGGTTACTTTTCATCGGACAGGATGGCTTTTTTCCTCCTGAGACCAGATGTTCTCCTTGGTCGATAATTGATATAAACTCTTGCTTCGCAAAACTCTGAAATTCATCRGCAAAGGTCCCTTTTCCATCTTTGCCCCTTAGAGTAGAAGCCAGTATAGGGCTAGCCACGCCTACATATGTACCAGGGATACTTTTAATAGAGTCTTGTGAAGATCCTTTAGCCCATGTTGGTTTGAGATCCTGGACCTGGTGGTTCTGAGTCCTATTTAACTGCTTTTGATGAGATCCATTTCGGTGAGAATTTGGTAAGACAGGATATTGCACGGTTGAGCTGAAGGCTGTGGAGTGAGTCTTCTTTGCATTCAGAAAATCTCTCTGATTAGACTCGTTATGAGGTTCCATCATAGAAACCGGACCATCTGTTTTGCATTTTGGACGTTTTGATTTAGAAGACAAGTCGAGGGGTACGTCTCTCAGCTCAGATGAGCAGACGGTGCTGTCCTCAGCAGCAGAAGAGGGCATCGGGTTTAGGGAGCCAATGGCTGTTTTGTCTACGCTGTTGGCTTTCTCCACRTGGTTCAGGAATCTGCTCTGAGAGGTGATGCTGGCCAGCGCAGAGCCACAGCAAATGGCAGCAGTGGGCGACAAGGTGTAGTGTGTGGGTGCCACTGAAGTTAACGATGGATGCTGCAATGGTAGTGCAATAGCTGGTGAGGCCACCACAGAGGCTAAAGACTTGTGCTCTCCATGTGGTTTGGCATTCTTGTTAGACGARTGGTTGGATTTGAGCTTTACGGTCGATCCGCCTGCTTTTTTGTCAAGGGTCCGGCTCACAGACAGCGAATAGGGATAAGTCCGCATGAGAGCTGCCCCTCCAACACTGGAGCTTTGAGKCTGAATTTCTTTTTGAAACTGACCGCCCGTGGCTTCTCTCAAAGCTGCAATTTGTCCTAATGCTGGTGGAAGAGTAATTTTACAGAGCTGAGGAGAAAAACTAGTGGAAGGAAGAAAGGCAATGGGCTGGGCTGGCTTAAACATGGCGGAGCACTGAAACCCCGAAGGAACGCTTTGCAGAGGTTGTGTTTGCGGATGGGATTTCTTACTGGATGTCACGTTGCTGTGACAAGGGTTGAGAGAGTCCTCTCGGCTGGCTTTTACACTGCTCGACCACTGAGGAGCGGAGAAAACCCCGGCACCGTCAACTCTGACTTTAGGGGTGTCTGCCCTTTTGTCGGTTTTCTTCTCTGAGCTGGTGACAACTGAGTTGGACATTGGTGCATTATTAGGCTGTTGAGGCAGAGAAAGGTCAGGGTTATGGTTGCAGTTGCTAGAGTCCAGACAGGCTTTTACTGTCTTACAGTCTTTTGTGGGAGTAGTCTTGTTTTGCTGACTGAGGTTCACATCTCCTCTAAATTCAGGGGGTAGCGTCTGGGGGGGATTTCCCACCATATTAGTGGATGTTTTATTCGGAGCACTGATCTCTCTGCTCACTGTGCCTCCATCCCCTACATTCATTAGTACAGAATCCACCTGAGTAATGACAGAGGTTAATGAGGCCAATGTTAAGTGGATAAAAGAACAAAATGCTCTAATCAAAGAATCTTACTTGGACAAATTAGAAAAACAATTACCTGCATAGGTGTTTCTTTAGCAAAACATGCCTCGGGTGTTAGCTGGTCCAGTCAGGACAGTTTTCTTTGAAAGAAACTGATAAACTGCAAAATAAAAGAATATATAAATTAAAATATATCCATTGTGTTGTTCTTTAAAGATTATATATAAACTTTAACAACAAAATAAGAAGCACTGTATGCAACAGCCACTGGGCAAATGAAAACTTCCTTTCATCAGAGAAGCTTGAAAATCAGTCATGTTACAATTTCCTGAAAGCATAGTGTCGTAAAATGATGCCCTGTTGACATTTGGTACTGACGTAGCTCCCAGACAATCCAATCATAAGTAGACAGACCTGAATACACTGCAAAAACTGTCCATCTAACCAAGTTTTAAAATCTTATATCCAGCCAAAAAAGTCTTTTTGATCTTGTTTTGAGACTGATTTACTAAAAAAGAACAGAAAGTGTAAGAATAATAATCTTGTTTTCAGAATGTGTAAGATTATTTATCTTGTTAGCCTGGAAATTTAACTCAAATTAAGTGAAAAATTTTTGCCAGTGGAGTAAGAATAATTTTACTTGGTAAGATTCTTGAAATAGGAAAAAATCTGAATCAAATCAAGTATTATAAGAATCTTACCAAGTAAATTTTTCTTACTCTATTGGCAGAAAATTTTCACTTAATTTGAGTCAAATTTYCAGGCTAACAAGATAAATAATCTTACACATTCTGAAAACAAGATTATTATTCTTACACTTTCTGTTCTTGTTTAGTAAATCAGTCTCAAAACATGATCAAAAAGACTTTTTGGCTGGATATAAGATTTTAAAACATGGTTACATGGACAGTTTTTGCAGTGTACATGTGCCTAGATGAAAAAAACACACACATATGATTCAAACTAGCAGACCAAGCTTCAGTCTGAACTCACATTTAGACGTCTGCACTGAACCAACAAACAGTGGTGCTTATTTACCTTCTTCAACATTTTCTTTTATTGATTGGGAAACTTCAACTTAAATAATTTTAAAAAATCTCCAAGACTCCGTGGCGGGCAATAAAGATGCAGAGAATCTGGTGAAATAACAAGGCCAAGCCCCAGTTCTGATTACCCATGACCTTCAAGTTCTCGTGTGGCCTTGCATTAAAGACAGACCAGATCCTATTGTGTAAATGACTTGAAAACCTTCTAGAAAAGCAAAACAAGATAAAACTCCACTGCAAAAGAAACAACTAAAAAYATATACAATATTCCAGTTTCTCTGGAGCCTGAGGTCAGTGAAAATAAACTGAGATGACGAAAGCGGTCATAAATATACAATTGTTTTAGGCTTTGGGTGATGGGAGCACTGCTGCACTGTATGGGTAACTTGCACATCTGTGAAGACACCTTTATTAATTTATGGTAAACGTGTTTTAAAGCAAATTATGTTTTCAGAAAGTCTTAACTCAGCAAAATGTCGTCTAACAAGGCTCAAGAAAATGACGYTCTTYCACAAAACWGTTTGGCAAAATTACTTCAAAGACCAGCCCATCTTTATGCTCCCTCTGGTCATTAATAAATCCCAGAAGAAGCCGAGCAGATCCCGCAGAGACGTGAGCTTTCAGAAATAAAATGAACATCACAAAGCAGAGGAGGCCTCTTCTGATTTGTGGAGCACAACTAGGGGTCAACATCGATATATCAATTAAATTAATGATYCAATTACATCAAGGCAAAACAAAAACCCTGATCCATATCATCATCATAYGCTTGATGTGGATCAATTGATATCAAATCATATTKATCGAAGACTTGTGAATTGAATTGAAATCATATCATGACAGACTTTGTAATATCAAGAAACATCAWATCGTCATCAAAACAAATCAATATAATATTGTCTTGTAATGAATCTGGTATCATTTTCAAAACTAAATCAGTTTAGCGATTCTCTTTGTGGTTAAATAATTTTTTTAACTAAATACAAAGTTGTTGTGAGTCATCGTTGATCGCACACACAGTATGTCATCACTTTATAACATCGAGCCGCAAAGCCGAGTTACCATTTCACCATTTCAGCTCTGTTACTACCTCACACAGGCAAATCAAGGGTGGACTGTCTTCAACCCTCCTGACTGCCTCGGTCCATTCAGATATCACACAGAGGCAGCTTAAAGGTGATTAAATTGAGGTGTTTTCTAAAACATATTTAGCAACATATAGCAGCCAACTGCTWAACTAAATAAAACTAAAATCTGTAAATATTATGTTTTAAAATAACATATTTGTGTCTTCAGGTCAAAAAACAACAAACCATGTTAAAAGTAACACAATGATGAGCTTTATGAAAGAGGTCGTTAGAATGAAGTTAACATGAAAATGCACACCAATATGTTTTTTTTTTGTTTTAATGTTTGACATGTTCTCTTTGATCTATTAATACTATATACGAAGGCTTTAAATTATTGTCAATTGTTGCAAAATGTACTTTTTTTTTTACTTCATCCACAATCTTTTCACTTTTTCAGAAAAGAGACCTGCTTGTTGTTGAGCACAAATACAAACTGAGTTTTCACTACAAATGCTGATATATCACTTTTATCGCTCACTCCAAACAGAAGCATGTGTAAAGGTGACCTCTGACCCCAGGGTCTGTCCCCCGTATGCCCTTTCAGTGATCCATACATGAAACAACAGCTCAAACAATATTCAATTGTGTTTCTGCTTGTATTTGTGCGCTCCTGTGTGTCTGTTAGCAAAATGTTCACGAGTAACTGAACACATTTTAATAAAAMTTTCAGAGTGATCAACGTGTCTGATTAACATTTGAATTTAATCCACAGATACCTGGCAGTAGCCAACACAAAAAATGGCTAAAATGCAGTAAAATCTTAGCTAACATGTGATGTGATAGTAGCTGAGAGTCATTCGTAACACATTCTCCGAGGGTGACATCTTGCATGATGTCTATTTTTTTTACGTTTGCCCAAAACTATACTGTCAACATTTCACAACATAATGATCTTTGGTTAAAATCTGTCAAGTAAGGCAGCGGGTGATATGCATTCATTCGAGGAATGCTGCCTGGGCCTTCAGTTTGTAACATTTCATTTTTAAAAAAGCCATACGCTATAAGTGATAGAAACAAGCTCCGTGATCCAGGTAGCAACAGGAAGGGCATAGGGCGTAAAAGGATTTGACAAATCTGTCATGTGAGTTTGCTCGCTACAGAAGGGAGCAGGCAAAAAAATTAAAATAAAAATAATAATAATAAATAAACATAACAAGCAAAATGTCCTGTTGCATYTCAGTAACCCAGGTAGAAAAACAACACAACACTTCTGATGGAAGAAACTCTCCAGAAGACCTACTTAATTTATATATATAGTTTTGATTCTGTAAAAATGAGGCCTGGATGGTTAAAGAGTGCAGCTGACCTAAAACTGGACACYGACCAGTGACAACTATATGATCAGTTATAAACAGAAACATGGAGGTAATCATGAATCTTGTATTCTGGAAACAAGAACAGACCCTGGTATGCAGGTAGAGGTGCACCAAAGGAATAAAACTGCCTTCAAGCTCTGAAGTGATGGAGATGTTTCACCTTTGACCTGCTGAGATTTAACAAAGATGACGCACATGATGACTGACATGAAACCTCTGCTGTAATAAAGAAGAGAGGGGGGAGGATGAGGGGGGTCTCTGCATACATTAACAGTACAACAGTTGATCACAGGTAGTTTAGCCTTTGTGTTCCGAGGCCGGCAGAAAAACAACAACGGYACACACACTCACACACAAAAAGTCCAGCCTGGGAAGAAACACCTGGGAGTAAAGCAATTTATCTTTCTGTGGTAAACCCACTTCCACCCGGTTCGGCTCAAACAAAAACATAATAAGACTTCATGCACGCTGTTGTAAATACCAGCCGGAATAATATTAATAATAATAATAATAAGAAAACTCTGGAGAGCTCTGTTCCTCCGAGCATAAAGAGGAAAGGCATCCGTCTGCAGACACACCGGAGTTTTCTTATTATTATTATTATTATTATTATTAATAATAATGATAATTATAAACACACAAAAGTGATGGATGTGATGAACGAGCACGATWATGATAAAATGAGGTGAGTCGACATCAAGTCAAACCAGACGACGGGAAACGGAACCGAGCTCGAGCYACGGAGAAAGTCCCGCATGTCAGCGGACGGTTCGGACAAACAAACACTGACCCGACAGACTTCAGGCACACAGATGGACAAAGTGTCCGACTAAAGACGGGAGGACGGGGGGTGACACAACTTATTGCACATGCTCGTGCCCCTGGAGTGGAAAAGGGTGGCGGTGGGAGGTGGGGGGGAGGAAACAGTATGAAGTCCACTGACCAGCTCTACCTCCAGAACGGGTCCGGCTCCCTGCGCAGCGGAGTCCCCGCCAAGCCCTCRCGTCGCTGCCGGTGGTTTACATGTTGAGGCGGGCTACTGTTGTTTACCCACCGGCCGCTTTAACGCGAGCTGCTCCGGTCTTTATCGGCCCTTTTCGCTGGACTGACTGAGCTACTTCGGTGTTGAAAGAAGGCAGCCCCCGACCCACCGAGCCCCCCCTCCTCCCCCCGCTCCTCTCTCTCTCTTTAAAACACTCTTATCTGAAATATTGAACCATTCCCGTGCTAATCAGCGCGCGAGGCAGGAGATGTCTAAATGACACAAACAGTTTACCAACCCGCTCTTCCAGATGGCAAGTGGACGACGTTCACAGGCACGACAGCGGTACGGCCGTGTCCAGCCTCTGCCGTCCGCGGCTGCTCACTGCTCCCCGACGGTTTACGGTTCTAAAAGTCCGGGAGGGGGAGGAAGAGGAGGGGGGCGGGAGGAGAAGGAGGGGGTCGTCAAGACGGTCCGTTCAGTATCTCCAGCCTCCAGTCTGGTGGGAGAGAGAGGGGGGGGCACGGGGAGGGGGTGCAGGGGCGACACCATGGGAGATGTAGTGCTCGGATATCCACGCCCAGCGTTGGACGCCGGAGAGGCTGGGAGGGGTGAGAACTACGGGTCCCGGCATGCAACGCGCGCTCCAGCCGCTCAGGGGAATTGCTGGTGGTGGTGGTGGGGGATCGGGCGACCAAAAGAGTGTAACGGTGCGCTAAACTGAAAGGGCTTATCTGGGCAACGAAGTAGTGAGCTGCGTGTTTTTAAAATAAACAAAGTGGGCTCCGACTATCACCCGCTCAGCTGGCGGCGGGGGGTAGTTTCTGGACGGGTTCTGCCAGAACAAAGTGACAGAAAGAAAGAAAGGTGGCAGCAGAGTTTGGGTCTGTTCGAGTAATGACATGAGGAAGCAGGACTCTGGAGGCCCTCCAGCTGCACGCTGAAGGAGATGTGTGTGTGTGTGTGTGTGTGTGTGT